AAGTTGGTTTTTGAGTCTAATAAAGTAGTCGTGTCTAAACATGGATATTTTATTGGTAAAGGTTATGAGTGCGGAGGCCTGTTCCGCTTTTCCCTTTCTGATTTCTGCAATAAGTCTGTGAACCATATTTGTGGCAGTGTGGATGATGAGGCTAATGTATGGCACTCACGTTTATGTCATATTAATTTTGGCTTGATGTCTCGGCTTTCCAGCATGTGTTTAATTCTTAAGTTTTCCATTGTCAAAGGTTCTAACTGCCATAGTTGTGTACAATCAAAGCAACCTCGCAAGCCTCACAAGGCTGCTGAGGAGAGAAACTTGGCACCTCTAGAACTCCTACACTCAGATCTCTGTGAAATGAATGGGGTGTTGACGAAGGGTGAAAAACGATATTTCATGACGTTGATTGATGATGCTACTAGATTTTGCTATGTGTACTTGTTGAAAACGAAAGACGAGGCTCTAGACTATTTTAAAATTTATAAGGCAGAAGTTGAAAATCAACTTGACAGAAAGATAAAAAGACTTAGGTCTGATCGTGGTGGGGAGTTTTTCTCAAACGAGTTTGACTTATTCTGTGAGGAACATGGCATTATACATGAGAGGACGCCTCCCTATTCTCCCGAGTCTAATGGGATTGCTGAAAGGAAGAACCGCACACTGACTGACTTGGTGAATGCCATGTTGGACACCGCGGACTACCTAAGGCATGGTGGGGGGAGGCATTGTTGACCTCGAATCATGTGTTAAACAGAGTTCCTAACAGAAATAAGGACAAAACACCATATGAGATATGGATTGGGAGAAAACCATCACTTTCTTACTTGCGCACATGGGGGTGCTTGGCGAAAGTCAATGTACCAATAACGAAGAAGAGCAAACTTGGACCTAAGACTGTAGACTGTATCTTTCTGGGATATGCTCACCACAGCATTGCCTATAGATTTTTAATAGTTAAATCTGAGGTACCTGACATGCATGTTGGTACAATTATGGAGTCTCGTGATGCAACCTTCTTTGAGAGCTTTTTCCCAATGAAGGATACACATAGTAGTTCTAGCCAACCCTCTAAAATAATTCCCAGTTCAATCACACCACCAGAACAAACTGAACATACACATGAACATGTCACTGAGGAGGATGACAGTGAAGCTCCTCGAAGGAGCAAGAGACAAAGGACGACTAAGTCTTTTGGTGATGATTTCACTGTGTACCTCGTGGATGACACTCCTAAGTCAATTTCAGAAGCATACGCATCTCCTGATGCAGACTACTGGAAGGAGGCTGTCCATAGTGAAATGGATTCCATTATCGCTAACGGGACTTGGGAGGTGACAGAGCGACCCTATGGGTGTAAACCTGTGGGGTGCAAGTGGGTGTTCAAGAAGAAGCTCAGGCCTGACGGTACTATTGAAAAGTACAAGGCTCGGCTTGTTGCTAAGGGCTATACTCAGAAAGAAGGCGAAGATTTCTTTGACACTTACTCACCTGTTGCTAGATTGACCACAATTCGTGTGCTACTTTCCCTAGCAGCCTCACATGGTCTTCTCGTTCATTAAATAGACGTTAAGACATCTTTTCTTAATGGAGCTGGATGAGGAGATCTATATGGATCAACCTGATGGGTTTGTAGTTGAAGGTCAAGAAGGCAAAGTGTGCAAATTGTTGAAGTCTTTGTATGGTCTGAAACAAGCTCCTAAGCAATGGCATGAGAAATTTGACAAAACATTGACATCTGCAGGCTTTGCTGTCAATGAGGCAGATAAATGTGTGTACTATCGCCATGGTGGGGGTGAGGGAGTTATTCTGTGCTTGTATGTTGATGACATACTGATATTTGGGACAAACCTTGAGGTGATAAATGAGGTTAAATCATTCTTGTTTCAAAATTTTGATATGAAGGATTTGGGAGTAGCTGATGTTATCTTAAACATTAAACTAATTAGAGGTGAGAATGAGATTACACTCTTGCAGTCCCATTATGTGGAGAAGATCTTGAATCGCTTTGGCTACTTTGATAGTAAGCCTTCTCCAACACCTTATGATCCTAGCTTGTTGCTTCGCAAGAATAAGAGAATTGCTAGGAATCAACTGGAATACTCCCAAATCATTGGCTCGCTGATGTACCTGGCTAGTGCAACTAGGCCTGATATCTCCTTTGCTGTGAGCAAGTTGAGCCGGTTTACCTCTAATCCGGGAGATGATCACTGGCGTGCGCTTGAGCGAGTAATGCGCTATCTGAAAGGTACTATGGAATTGGGGCTTCACTATTCTGGGTATCCTGTGATACTGGAGGGATATAGTGATTCTAACTGGATCTCTGATGTGGATGAGATCAAAGCCACTAGTGGATATGTCTTCACACTGGGTGGTGGTGCTGTTTCGTGGAGGTCTTGCAAACAGACTATTTTGACGAGGTCAACCATGGAAGCAGAACTGGCGGCACTGGATACTGCTACTGTTGAGGCAGAATGGCTGCGTGATCTATTAATGGATTTGCCTATTGTTGAAAACCCGGTGCCGGCTATCCTTATGAACTGTGACAATCAAACGGTAATTGTCAAAGTGAATAGTTCTAAGAATAATATGAAATCGTCTAGACATGTGAAAAGACGATTGAAGTCTGTCAGGAAATTGAGAAACTCCGAAGTTATAACGTTGGATTACATCCAAACAGCTAGAAACCTGGCAGATCCCTTCACGAAGGTACTATCACGAAATGTGATAGATAATGCATTGAAGGAGATGGGTTTGAGACCCATGTGAGTAATACTATGGTGGTAACCTAGTCTATGTGATCGGAGATCCCGTGAATTAGAACCTGGGAAGAACAAACCATTAGTAAACTAGAGGAGAGTACCAATCTATACCCTCTCTAAGTGAAGATGCATGTACTCTCGTGAGCTGCAAGGCAGGTTGGCTATGCCTTAATGAGTTCTGTTGGCTTTAATTAGCGAAGATGCTGTCCTGCAGAGCATTCTTGAAAGAACTCACCTTTGTAAGCTTGACTGTTGGTCGCAGTCTATGAAGATTTTGGGTGAATCTTCTAGGAAGCTTACTAAAGACCTAAGAGTATGACTTATACGCTCCACCCGAGGGGTAGTCTACAGACGGTCTAGTACCAGATAAGACTTTGAGTGAAACTTGCTTGCACAAGACTTGCAATTCAAGGCGTAGTCCATTGTTCAAGTTGTGAATAATTGTAGCTTGGAGTTCTAGGTGGTTGTTCAACCTTAATCGGTCTCCATCGAACTGCTGGTATATAAACAATACATTGGAAAAGGCAAATCTCAGTGGGATTTTGAGATTTGGTGGGGGATTGTTGGAATTAATAGATGGGCTAAGGCCCATTCGAAGATTAATTCTTTGGAAAATCACAAAAACCCACCTCATGGGATGGCATGCATGTGGAGTTTAGTACCACCTTGCTTATTCTAGGAGAGGGGGACCTCCTTAAAAGGGAGGATGCCCTCCTAGCCACTTGAAGCATGTGTGGTGGAGAGAAGAGGGGGAACACACGCGCGTGCTCGCTCGCTCGCCTGGCCGGGCCGGGCCGGCGGCGCGCGTGCACGACGTACGCGTCGAATGGTCCGCAAAATTAGCTCCTCACCCTTGCGCAGATGCAGCCTCCTTTTGCTTTTTTGTTTTGCTGCAGGAAAATTCGGATTTGTTTTGTTGTTGGAAACATTCCGAAAAATCCTGTGCGTGAAAACGGCGTGGAGTCCGGATAAGTTACGCGCGGCTTATCCGGTTCGGTTACGCGGAGTGGAGATCGTGCGGGCGCCCTGATCAAGCGACCTATCTCTATATAAACCGAGCTGCCGCCTTCACGCAACACACGCGAAATCAATCTAGGGTTTGCCTCCTACTCTGTACTGCGCCGTCGCTTGTAGACTACTCCATCCCGCTCGCCGGCGTGCACCGGTGATCGGGAGAGCAGGTCTCCGAAACCTCTGCCTTCGTCGTCCTGCACCGGGAGAAGACGACAATAAGGTTTTTGGGAAGTGCTTCGCGCGACTGCTCCTTGTTCGTCCGCGACGGCTCACCTTTCTCTCCGCTCGCGTGCTTCGCGCCTTCGTCGATGCTCGCAACCGCGAGTAGTTCCTGCCGAGCAACCGGTCTTTCCGCCACCTCAGTACGTGTTCGACATGTTGCGCATATTTGATCTGTTCATGTTTTACTGCTTAGTTTACATGTGTAGATCTAATGATGCGTTAATGCTAGTATACGTCCGTAATGTCATGATTTATGTATAGAATATATTAAATCATTATATGTCTATATTCTCAACAAGGTTCCCTTTGTAATATTTCAACCTACCCATCCTACTGATTAACCACGCCGCAAACCATCTCCCTTAATGTTGTTTTAGTGGTACCATCATCGACTCACCAATTAACCACACCAAGATACCGTCCGTCCTTTACCGTCCCTCTCCCTCGCAACCGCTTAGAGCATATACAAGACAATGAGAGGATAATATGAGATTCAGCAACACGTGAAATAAAACAAGCCATAAACATATAATTAATTGAAAATTTTATTTATTTCATCTTTTTAGTAACTTTTATCTAGATCTTTTTTTTTAAAAAAAACACCATTTAACATTTTAGGAAACATTCTCATAAAAAAAGGGGAAAGCATCTCAGCCGTTGAGCCGAACCGAACGTAGCCTAAGACATGCTTATATTTACACATAGACCGGTCACTGATCCGTTAAGCAGTAAGATTTAAACCCTAGCAAATGCACTAAGGTTTAGGTTAATGAAACATCATAAGTATGACGTACGTGTTCAACGGAAGAGGGATGGGATCGATGTGGATATATGCTGGCCGTGAAAACCAAACTAACCAACTACGGAGTAGTAGTAACCACCAATTACACTGAATCCAGAGTGAGTACTTGTGTAGTTGTGTTTGTGTAGTTGTGTATGCTCCCAAATCCTGAAACCACTAGCTAGTGGCATCATTGTCACTCATGGATTCCATCTTCCCTCCTGACCTCCTCCCAACTTGCCCTGCAGCCTCCTGCAACGTACTCCAGTCTCCAGCACACTATAAATAGGCACGAACTTGGCATCCCTATGCAGCAAGAGCCAAAGCCTAAACAAGCTACCTCTAGTTCGTAGCAGCAACAAGCTCCAGCTCGCACACTCCGGCAGCTAGCGAACAATGGCGGCGAGCGGGTGGTGGTGCGGGCTGTCGCTGTGCGCCAAGCCGAAGCAGGTGGCGAGCGAGAGCGTCCACGGCGCGCAGCTCGCGCTGCAGCGGCTCACCGCGGCCAGGCGCTGCGGCGGCGGCGGGGACGCCGCTTGCGTCGACGTCGAGGCCGGCAAGCCGTGCAAGTGCGGCGAGGAACATACGGAGGCCGCGGCTGCCGGGAGGGTCGCGGCTGTGGAGGCCGTTCACCATGGCAAGCCGACCAGCTCCTTCGCCCACTCCGTCATCAACATGGTCGGAATGCTCATAGGTACAACAAGTTTCTGGCCACCCAAAAATCTTCAGCTTCGTATAATCCAAATTATTTCTCTATATTCTCAAACTCCAACTTAATATTTTAATTAGCATTAATTATACTCGTAAGCTGCTTATCAGAATCCTAAGCTCCTAATTTTTTATGTCAATATCGATGTCATAATTCACATCAAAATGATAATATCTCGAAAAATTAATAGGTTTTAATAATGATATATATTCATAATATTTTGCAGGACTTGGGCAGCTGTCGACTCCGTACGCGCTGGAGAACGGCGGGTGGGCGTCCGTGTTCCTCCTCGTCGGCCTCGGCGTGATGTGCGCGTACACGGCGCACCTCATCGGCAAGTGCCTTGACGACGACCCGGCCTCCAAGACGTACCAGGACATCGGCGAGCGCGCGTTCGGCGGCAAGGGCCGCGTGGTCGCCTCCGCCTTCATCTACCTCGAGATCTTCTTCGCGCTCGTCTCCTACACCATCTCCCTCAGCGACAACCTCCCGCTCGTCTTCGCCGGCGCCGCCTCCCACCTCCACCTGCCGTGGGTGCGCCTCACCGCCACGCAGCTGCTCACCGTCGCCGCCGTGCTGGTGGCGCTCCCCAGCCTGTGGCTCAGGGACCTGTCGACCATCTCCTTCCTGTCCTTCGCCGGCATCGTCATGTCGCTGCTCATCTTCGGCACCGTCGTCTGCGCGGCGGCGTTCGGCGGCGTCGGCCTCGGGGGGTACATCCCGGCGCTGCGGCTGGAGCGGATCCCGGCGGTGTCCGGGCTGTACATGTTCAGCTACGCGGGGCACATCGTGTTCCCCAACATCCACGCCGCCATGAAGGACCCCTCGGCGTTCACCAGGGTGTCCGTCGCGAGCTTCGCCGTGGTCACCGCGCTGTACACGGCGCTGGCGTTCGTCGGCGCGAGCATGTTCGGCCCGAGCGTCAGCTCCCAGATCACGCTCAGCATGCCGCCGGGGCTCGCCGTCACCAGGATCGCGCTCTGGGCGACCGTGCTCACGCCGGTCACCAAGTACGCGCTCGAGTTCGCGCCCTTCGCCATCCAGCTCGAGCGCCACCTGCCGGCGGCCATGTCGCCGCGCGCGCGCACGCTCGTCCGCGGCGGCGTCGGCTCGGCGGCGCTGCTGCTCATCCTGGCGCTGGCGCTCTCCGTGCCGTACTTCCAGTACGTGCTCAGCCTCACCGGGTCGCTCGTCAGCGTGGCCATCTCGATCATCTTCCCCTGCGCGTTCTACCTCAAGATCCGGTGGGGGCGGGTGTCGCGGCCCGCCGTCGCGCTCAACGCGGCGATGATCGCCGCCGGCGTCGTCCTCGCCGTGGTCGGGACGGCCTCGTCGGCGACGTCGTTGGTGCAGAGCATACAGAAGGGGCATGCAGCGTAAGTAGCTTAAGTTTGATGAGGTGGCCAAATTAATGAGGATCGATGTGTACTGAATACTCTGCTTGTGTTGTGTGTATAAGATTATACAACATGTATTGTGTCGTTATAGATCAGTCTATACTTTGCAGTGTATATCTTTTGAAAGAGAACATGTAAGAAATGCATCCAGAATTCCAGATTGATATATCATCAAGGAAATAATATTCATGGGATTCTATTAGGTATTATATGAAAAAAAGATTAATTCCTACTTGTCTGATCAGCTTTTTCTTAAAAGCTAAAACTATTTTAAAATTCTAAATTTCGACTTTTAAGAATAATTTTAGAAGAATTGAATTTTACTCTCTTTTCTTATCCATCGTGAAAAGAGAGCTCATTATCTTAAAAAAAATCGTGAAAAGAGAGCTTTGGTAGTGAGAGTGGCAAAAGAACCCTTAAAATAAATACATTCTGAAATTCAAAATCAATTTCAGCTTTGCAAAGCACACAAAGAGACAATGATTCGTACATGATTGAGGTCATGACGTAGGAGTATAAAATCTTGGCGTATTTACGTTACATTTGATCACTTGTGTGGGCATATAATTAAGGCTTGTTTGCTCAAGAAACCAGAGGCCGGAGCAAATGGCAAATTTGCTTGGTTCAGCTCAGTTCAACTCTCACAAGTCACAACCTTCTTTCCATGACTCCTGGAATATAATCCCTCTCCATGTGGGGCGGCGCATTTTTTTCACAACAAAAGCAACGTGTCCGTGATCAAGGGTGTTTGTCACCATGCTCCAACGGATTATCGATCTGTTGGTTCTTTTCAGTATTGATTCGATAGTTCAAAATTTTGAAAACTTCGTCTCATGTGAAAGTTGAACGTCCCAAGTATTTAGGGTGTTGGATCTCATGGGATTTCAGAATTAAAATTGGCTAACTAAGGGCACGTATAACGGTGTGTAATAACGGTCTCTATTCGTTGCCACGTAAGTAAAATATATGACATGGAAGAGAGATAGGGGGGTGGTTGCTACACATGACAATGGTTCGAAGTTGACTCCTAACATTTGTTAAAGAAAATTTTGTTGTATGGGCGTGGAGAAAAAGAAAGAAGTGTAGAAAAAATATTTTGGTGCATTAATGGTTAAGAGTTTTTGTTATCTCAATTATTATAGGAGTATAGTTTCTAAGTGATATGTATTAACTAAGACTATACCTGACTCTACATTTTATATATGCCTAATAATGCGATTGCTAGGAAGGATAGTCAGGTGTGGCAACATGGAGGAAATTTTATGCAGCCTAGTTGAGAGTTTCAGTTCCATCGTTTGCTTTTCGGCTTATTAGTCGTAACCAAAATTTAAATTTTCCAACTTAATTTAGAAATTTTTTGAGGTTTTCGTCATAGTTTAGTTTTAGTATTGGTTTTTAAATAGTTAAGAATGTGAATATAAAAATTTTACCCATCAATTATTATTATTTACTTTCTAGGGCTTATTAGCGCAACAATGAGATCGTTATATGAAGTGATCATAGATGAACTGGTTAGGTCCCTTTGGTGAAACCAGCCTACTCGAATTAAAGTCCTAGCTTAGACACGTGTGCTCATATTTATAGCTAATTATTTTTACAGTGTTAGACGATGTATCCGTTGACAGTAAGGCGCTCATGATTACTTCGTTAATTTCAAGATATGTTAGCCCTCTCATTGTGTGCTCATTAGAGTGATTAAACAATGAGATCATTAGCATATGCACCATGTTAATCGAGACCATTTGTCAAGGACCTGACTGGCAATGATGACTACGCAACGGCCCAAACATTTCGAACAGGAAAAGGTTCTCGTAAAATTTCTGCAATTTCATCTTGGCAGTTTTTCTTAAAGAATTTACCTTGAAAAGCTACCTATTACTATTCTGATATTCTCCAAACAAAATAGGTCTATTTGGATCGGAAGTAATAAACCATCTATATCTATACTAATATAAAAAGGAGGAGTTGGCCTCCTCCAATCCTACCTGCCCAATCACCCGATCAATCCCTAGCGTCCATTTGCATATCTACTTATCCGTACCGTCCATCCGAGTATCACCTATTCATCCGATCCCATCCATCACAATGCCGTCGCCTGCTCTAGCGCTATCCTCGCCCCGATGCCCGCCGCCGCGCTATCCCCACGTGCGCCCTCGCGCGATGACACCCCGCGAGTCCCTACGGCAGCCGCTGCGCTTTCCTACGCCCCCTCGCATGCCCCCGCCGCGACGGCGTGTGGATCCTCCCCCGTGCAGTGAAGGTGCCCTACTAGGTCGCTGTCGTCCAGTCCGCCGACCATATCCCAACCCATCGATGTAAGTATTGCAAGCTCCCCTTCATTTTGGTGAATTTAATTTGTAGTGAATGGTGCAAATCCGAGGGTTAGGGATTGGATCATAGTGCAAATCTGACGGTTAGGAATTGGATTCGTATGGATGAATCCGAGTACTGTAACCCCAACCATTTGTTTGTAGATTTGCAGAAAAAGTTAAAATCAAATTGGTAAATATTGTAGATTTGACGATGTTCTTGCATTTAATCTCCTCCCCTGGTTGTGTTATGGTACAGGTCTGAAGCTATTGTAGGTTCCCTTGTGTTCTCAGGGAAAATACGTGTACTCCGTAAGAGCAGAAAATTCAGGCTTGCTTAGCCACCCAAGACGCTGCCCCCTGCCTACTCCATCTCCAAGGAAGCGCCTGGGCCACTGGTCTGGTTGGCTAGCGAGGTGTATTTCAAGCATCTACTTGTGACGTTAACAACTTTCAAACCTGTGCTGGTTGTGGCAGTCAGGGAATTCCTGCATCATACAGCGAATGTGCCTTTATGGCTGCTACACTAGCTAGCTACACTTCCAACTTATAGTTTTAAAATTCGTTAAAAATTAAATTGTGCCAAAGTAGTGTGATATTACTTGGATTGATGCCATTTATCATGGATAGAAATCAAATATATCATGTTCCAGTTCATGAAACTTTTGCAGGATGGAGAGCACAGAGGAGTGACATGATTCCCATCCTCATTCTTTGGAGAGTTTGATAGGTATGTCACACTCCATGTGCTCTATGGCTTTGTATGTCACAGATCTGATCAATCTGCTCTTTGATATCCTAGGAGCATATATTAAATTAATCTAGACTGCATATATATTAGATTGCATAATTCCTGAAACATAATTTCAGCTGCTCATATGATTGTTTGGCTTTCCTCTAGGATAAAACTTTGTACTTTAATTAGCTGGAATCTGGCCATACCCTTGAAGAGGACAAGGGAGCTACACACAAAAAAAATGTATTGGCAAGAGATGCTTTGCACTGGACAAAGCATTGATCTTCTGTTTTCTTAAGGTAAATACTGTATGAGAGTCCTACGGTGAATATATTTATATAATATATAACTCACAGAATTACATATGTAGTTTGAAGATTTAGCTATTTGTGCCTGAATGTAATTATCTAACCATTGGAGTAAATTGATTAATCAATCCTTTTTGTTGCTAACAAATTGATTTTGGGTGCTGGTATGATTTGATTTTAGCAACATTATTGTTTGCTTTACGGATAACATTAGCATCTATATCAGGAAATTGCCTACAAAATGCTTATACAAATGTGTTAATCATTCTGCATCTCTTGACATGAATGCTAATTTTTATTTTTACGCAATCCAAACATTTTTTTTAATCGAGGGACCTTGATTAATTGCTTCAGCTTGTTGTGAAGGAAACACTATCTGGATATTGAATTTGATTGGAGATCAAATGAAGGCAGTGATCATGATCCAACACTTTGACTGTCAAGGACAATGTGTTGCCATGTGTGCAAGTAACAATTACTTCATATTATATTAGAAGTAGTTCCTGCTACTGTTTAACTAATTAGTGTTAACCTAATCATATTTCTTTTGTATGTTATTTTGCATGCTTCTATAGATCAGGAGTTCCGTCATGATTCATGAGGTGCAGGGAATAACTCAGAGGTTTTTCTATACATAAATCTTAGTCTTTACTCTTTGCCCCTATTGTTGCTTGTAGAATTTTGCAAGGTTCTGTTTTAGCACCAATGTTTTTTAATTAATACTGTCAAACAACTCCCAAATATGTCATGTAGAAAATCTTCTCTCAATCAAGTTTTATTTGTAGAAGAACATGCAATAGTTTTGACAAAAATAGAAGACCATGTGAATCCTGAAATTTCAGAGAAATCTTCAAAGATTAAAATTTAGAAAATTTACAAACAAAGATAATGGTCAATCCCTGGTTTCGGACAGTGGAGCTGGAGAGTACATTTATCACCAAAGTTGTATAAGTGTTTGTTTCAATATCTGGATTTTTTTTTCCTAATTGTCAGCACCATATATCTGAACCTTTTATTGTAGAAGGCTCAACCACTTATTCTATTATATGCACCACAGGATATTTTTCTCTTGTTTACCCCTGCAGCTAATTTTTGTGTCTATTCTTATCATGTGAAAGAATTAGATTTTTTTTCTTAAACTAGAGAGGTTAGCCTCTCCCATTTCTATTAAATAAGCGAATATTTTACAGGAAAACAAGGGCATCCAGGCTGACAACAAGAAAAATAAAAGACTGGTTTTATTTCTTCACAAACAGGTCCAGGAATTAGATAGAAAGAAAAGACACATTAAGATAGCTAGAAAAGAGTTTTAAATTTGCATATCGGTCCATCTAACAGTTTCTTGTATTATTGAATGTCAACTATCCCTGTCAATCTTTCTCATCGTTTCTTGTTATCAAATGCTAATCCATTAATTTAATTTCAGTTCTTTAACTCATTTCCAATAGCCCACCTGCTGATAACTAGGATTACTGGGTGCAAATAATACTATCTGGACCACCTTTAATGATTTTATTTACTTTTTAGTTCAAATTTGGCAATATATTTCTTCCCTGATGGGAATCATGTGCCTTTTTTAAATCTTACACCAAGGTTCTTAAACTGGACTGTTCATTTCACTTCTGCAGTTTATTGGTTTTATTTTCTGCCATCATATTTTACATTTACATGTAGGAATGAAGTAATGGCTACCACTTTTTTACTTGTTTCTATATGTATGCAGCCATGGCTTTCTTTACTAACCTAGCTGTGGTATAGATCCAGTTAGCTTTATACTCACATATTGCTGTCTTCCATAAACCTTTCCATTTGCCAGCCAATGTAATGCGATCCTTTTTCTCTATCATGTTTTCTATCTGAAGTTTTATTGTGCTCCGTATTTTTCCAATATTGTTATTCCTTCAACAAAATCAACTGATCCACACATTACTTCCAACACATACTTCAGTTTTTTTTCCAGAAACAGGATGTGGCTTTTTTTTACAGTATTTCTGTTGAAGTCAGATTTCATAAATCAATTTAAACCAGCATTACGATGGGTCACCCTCGGATGGCTGGGAAGTTAGCTAGAAGCCGAGATTGAGCAGTATTTTTTGGCAGTAACTGCTAGGATGATGGACATGTGCAGTGTGAAATCCCTTCCAGTGCCCAACTGCTAGGATGATGGACATGCTCATGGGGTCCGTAAGTCCATACCAGAAATGCATAGTTGTCATTTCAATTTTTAAGATGTTTCCAGCATGTTCACACACGACATCTCCTTTTTTGCACTTCAGTTAAGACAACGACGTCGAGCACTATTCCGATAACAATTGACTGGAGTACTATTATGAGACAATGTCCTAAGAGTAACTGAGATATAAACCTCTATGGTTTGCATACCATATAAACTTCTACTGGTCACACTATAGAAGATATGCACTTGCTGTTGATTATGTAAATGTTATATACTGAAGTACTATTTTGAGCACTTGCTATTGATCATGTAAATGTTATATACTGAAGTACTATTTTGAGACATTTTTTATAGAGTAAAGTGCACGGGCGGTCCTTAAACTTGTAGGGGTATGTCATCTAAGTCCCTAAACTCTCAAAATGCATATCCAAGTCCCATAACTTGTTATAGTATGTCATCTAGGTCCCAAATCGCTACAACTCCTTCAGGATCCTATGTGGCTTGATGTGGCATGCCACGCAGAAATGACGTGGCATTATTTTGACTAACAAATGGGACCCATTTAATTTTTTTTCTTTTTCTTCTCCTCTTTTTTTCCTTCTCCTTTATCCGTGACCTGAGCAGAAGAAAGGACAAAAAGAAGAATGAGAAGAAAACGGAAAAGAAAACGAAGAAGAAGAAGAAGAAGAAGAAGAAGAAGAAGAAGAAGAAGAAGAAGAAGAAGAAGAAGAAGAAGAAGAAGAAGAAGAAGAAGGAAAATAAAGAAAAGGACACATCACGTCTATGTGGCAAGACACATCATCGTCACATAGGATCCTAGAGGGGCTATGTTGATTTGGGACCTGATGATACACTTTGACAAGTTGTGGGACCTGGATCTGCATTTTGAGAGTTTAGGGACCTAGATGACACAACCCTACAAGTTGCACTTTACTCTTTTTATACTTTCAGTACTTTATATCAGTACTTTGTATGTGCGGTGTGATATGCATATTGTTGGAAAAACAATGCATTAAACTTTGAGGACGTTTATGTATTGTGGGAAACGTGGATTGCACGTGCACGATTACTAGTTTCCTTAAAGGAATAAGTTCACTTTAGGTCTCTCATCTAGACATTTAGTTTGAATTCCATCCTTAACTGGTACTGCTTGGGGACCTATATATATTATTACGGTTAAAGGACAAATTCCACGTCAAGTAGAACCTAAAGTAAACTTGTTCCTTTGAAAAATGACTTTGAAAATTCTGGGTTGGGAAAAAGTATACTTCGACTCCTTCAACTATCGCTCGAGTATGAATCATGCCCTCCAACCACAAAAACGGGTATATAGACTCCTTCAACTATCAAAACCGGTGCAATCAATGTTTCTTGGTGGTTTTGGCTGACGTGGCGCCTACATGGTGGTCTTGACCGGGTCTTTGTTCTATGTGGCATTAAAATAAAAAGCAAAAATAAAAAAATATGTGTGACTCATATGTCATTCACACCAAATATATTGTGGGACCCACATGTCATCCTCCCTCCCCTTCCCTTCTTCCTCCTCCCTCCCTCACTCTCTCCCTTATCTTTCCCTCCCTCGGCCTTTCTCTTCACATTGGCTAGAGCGGCGGCGGTGGTGGCGGTGGGGACAGCGGTCGGGAACGGCAGCACAGTGGCCACGGTAGGGCGGAGAAGGCGTTCCTCCGACGAGCGGGCAAGCTCGCCGACCGGCGCCACTGTGGGGACCCGACCGTCGCCTAGGGAGAGTAGCGTCTCCTCGGATCCCTGCCGCCTCTCTCGACCGATCGAGCGCGTCTCCATCGTCCGAGCTCCGTGCCCTTCTCCGTCCCGACGACCGGCCGCTGTCTTCGCCGTGGGGACACTGTCGCTACCCAGGGAGCATCGTCGCCGTCAGCCACCACGTTCCTCTCTCCGCCAACCGCCACCCCCTTCCTGTCTCGCTGCTGCCAACGAGGGCCACCGCACGCCTTTGGTTCTCCTCGTCCGTCGCCGGCCCTTCATCTCGGCTATTGGGAGGACGGGAGGAGAGAGTTAGATAGGTGGAGAGAGAGAGGAGGAGAAGAGTAATGGTTGACATGTGGGGTCGACGTGTTAGTGGGTTCCACAATGCATTTTTTGTGTGAATGATATATGGGTCTCACATTTTTTTTTGTTTTTACTAGAAAAAAAGCCCGTGCGTTGCAACGGGTGAAGTCTAATTTTAATTGTATTATTGTTAGATATATTTTTTTTGTCTAAAAAGTATATGGGATTTTTATTTTGAGATTGATATCCAATCTGAAGCCCTTCTATTTTTAAAAGCGAACGAATTTTAAAACCAACTTAAATACGGACGACGTACCAAAACTATCGGTGGAAACAACTTCAGTTTTAATAATATAAATCACTTAATCCTAAATAGCCGAACGAAATCATATGTTGAAAAATGATGTTAAAAAGAATCATGCTTAGATGAATCTTTCACAAAATAAATGGACATGCATGAAAGCCGCCCATACAAAATTTAGTATGTTTTGCATTTGCATGTGTGCAAAATTATTGAAATAAACACAAACAAATCTGAAATAAATAGTATGTGACATATGCTTAGAAGATGGGCAATGTTTTTCACCGAGACAGCCTCGCGTCAACAGATGGGCAATAATTTGGACCTTTTACAATTTTAGGCCCATATGTGCAAAAACATATTGGATGTGGATATAAAAAGGAAAACGTAAATATGGTCACAACGCTAAAAACGGATCTAAATCGGAATAGGACGGTTTGTTAAAATGAAAGGACAACGGACGAAAATACGATGAGTATAAAATCATCTTTAATTTATATAACTAGGAAGGAAGCCCGCGCACATGTGCGGGCAATTTATTTATTGTCTATAAAAAGAATATTAAAAGAAGCCCTATCTCACTATATTCACTATAAGAAATAGATAATAGATTTTGATATACTAAATGATAAGAATGTGTATTATATCCAAACAAAAAATCACTTTGTTCCAGTTATATGTAAATTCGTCTATCACCCCTACTTATTATTATTGTCTTGAAATATGAGTATCTTTTTAATAGATAGAATTGCAGTTATACCTAAAAGTAAACCCAATAAACCATTAATGCCAGAAAAAGTTAAATCTCCACATCATACCCAAGTGCCTATGTCTCACATGTGTCCAAATCTATATATAAATATTTAAAAATACTGCTTCTATCAATTAATAGGATAAAACCGTTAAACTTATATAAGAATGCCTCTCTAACAATCGGGTGAAGCCGACTATAGCTGTTAAGGGTTTTTCTCTAATGCCTTAATTCATGGTCTCGTATTGATATAGTCGTGCTCCTCAAGCCAGTTAAGCTCTATTTTCAACGGTAACCTGTAAAATCAGACCACCTCAACCAAATAATGCATACTCCTGCATAGCTTACTACAACATAGCCAATTGAGATCCATGCTCGGCACCCTTTAGGGAATGAGTGAAAGAAGATGGAGGTAATGAAAAAAAGGTTTTTTTTTGTGTCTTGAGTTGATTTATGTATAGAGTAGACATAATGTGTTTATGATGTTAATGAATGGTACTAAATTTTAGTAGTAAAGGCATATTGTTTAAAAAAGATTAGCACAGTTGATCATTCGACTATCTAATAGCTTCAGTGGCGAGGATCACGTAAAAAATACATGCTCTCGCGATGATCATTTGCTAACACATATGGTTTTGATATTTTTTTACTTGTATTATACATCTAATTCACCTATGCATGTACGTAGGGTCTAATATACGTTGGAATTTGTGCTAATTTGTTAACACTATTTGGATGAGAACAACAAAAAAATAGATATAATGTAGTTACGTGTACGTTTTTTTTTAGGGGGGGGGAATAGTAGTCTCTCATACATACGTTTGTTTTTTCTTTTTTTTTGGACAAAATTTTTTCTAACATAGGGATAGGATGTACCCATGTGTACTTTAAGTGTGCTTATGCACATATTTATATGAGTTCATATGATTGTCTTTTAAATTATTAGTAAAAAGAATACTTTCGAGAAAATCGATGGGAAGAGAGTGGAGCAAAGGGTGGCGTAAGGCAGTTGCATATGGCATGGCTTGTTTTACCACCTCAGTTGGAGTAGTTGCTACATTTATATATCTTCAATTTAGGAAAATCTTAGAGCTGGAAAGAAAGAGAAAACTACCAGATGGGACGGATAATATACACACACTCTTTTTTTTTTCTTTTTATATCTCTTATGTACATACTTACGTAGGAGTTGTGTACATATGCATAGAACTATATAGTTTTTAACACATAGGGATTAGTTTAGAATATCTAATTTAATGGTTGAAAATAATGGATCATTGATTTAATTGTAAACTGATGGATAAATATTTTACCTTTTTATATAATTTTTCATAGATTCTCTCTAATTTATTAGAGCATCACGTGGCATCTTAGGAGTATCTGTAGAAGTGTAGGAATAGTATTACTCATAGGTGTAATGTACTTGTAGTCAACTTTGTTTATAGTATATTGTTTTTATATTCTATTTACCTATAATTTGTTGATGGTTGCGCACTTAGTATCACCCTTTATCTTCGGTGCTGGATGACACACGTGCTCATATATCAGCTATCGTTCGGTGCATTGTGCATGGATATCTCGTAAGTAATATTATTTAGCGATTTGTGGACAATGGTTTGTATATAGAATTATATATGGAGATAAGTGAGGACATATGTTTAGTACCCTAAGTAACAAATTTAAGACTGTGTTCTAAAGTGCTTATCGGATTGGCTACTCTCTTATTTATATTTAACATGTTTCCCGAAATTGCTAAACATGTTTCCTGAAATTGCTAAACAGTATATTATATGGTGCATGTTTTGCAAATACTTTTTATATAAAAGTTTTTTTTAGAAAGATCAACTAAATTTATTTTCGCTTTTTAATATTTAATACTCAATTAAACCTGTGCTAATGACTTGCATTATTCTGAGTGCCTAAATAAACTCACCCAATAAGCTTTGATCGAACGAGGTTTAAAGTAGGAGATAAATGACAACGACACGATGTAAAAATAATATATTTGATATTTAATTCCTAATAATATATAAATAAAGAAAAAATAATACATAATAAATTTACTAACCTCATTTTGATATATTAGTTTTTTTTACAGTATGGAGTGAGTAATTTTTGAGAGTGCTATTTATAACTGGGTTTTTTTATTTTCAAAACACAGGTCTAATAGTATACTTCCTCCGTTTCATAATGTAAGACTTTCTAGCATTGCTCATATTTATTTAGATGTTAATGAATCTAGATATATATATGTGTTTAGATTTATTAACATCTATATGTATATAGGTAATGCTAAAAAGTTTTACATTGTGAAATGGAGACTGAAATGGAGGGAGTACATGTTATGTTTTTTTCTTTTTCCGGGGGTACGTACGTGTGTGTGTTTTTTTCTCTATATTTTTCGTATGTGACTGGGTACGTACATATTTTCTTTTTGTCAAATAGTGTACGTGTTTTTTTTTCTTCTCTTCTCCGCCGGCATGAGAAGTGAAAGAAAAGCGTACACACACAAAGGGGAAACGGAGGAGGTCAGATGGATACATGGATAGTACGTACGCTACGGAGGGATCATACTTGCGTTGGACGGATGGATCGAGATTTTGATTTCCTTTTAAGATAAATCTAACGATAAGGTCCATCAAAATTAATGAGTCCACCAATTTAAAGGAAAATCGACAGTCAGATTTCTCTATTTTAATAGAGTGACGTGTGGCGACTCGAGAGCGTTTATAGGATGCCACATGTCGATTTAGGAGCGTTTGTAGGAAGTTTAATGGATTTTTAGTATATAATAGAAAGAATAGATAGATTGATAGATAGGTAAAGATTATGACGGAAATGTTATGTTCTTTTTTGGAAGGCATATTTTTTGCCTTTCTTATTATTTTTCTTGTTTTTTCGCCTTTTTATCTTTTTGGATATAGTTTTTTTCACAGCCTTTTTTCAGTCTTTATTTTTTTCCGACGGCCTTTTTTTCGCTTTTTTTACGTATTTTGCTTTTTTTTTTTACTTTTTTATCGTTGCATACAAATCGGATCTTATTTTTGCATTTTTAATTTTTTTTACGAACGACTTTTTTTTCCAGGGAATCGGACTTTTCTTTTGGGGACCTTTTTCGCTCTTTTTTTTTCTTTTTTTACGGACATTTTTTCACCCCTTTTACGCCAAGGGGCAAACCCCCCCCCAAATACAGATAAAACCAAAATTCTGATACGGAAACATATTTAATTAAAATCGATTCTAACACGGATGTGTCGTAACAAATTTCTAGACAAAAACACCTTGAATTTCTTGAATTTTTATAATTGGTATATAGATATAGATAGATACATTCTAAAGCTATATAAACGCCACATAGGACAAAGACCCAGTTAAGACCACCACATAGGCGCCACATCAGCTAAAACCATCTTCAAAATCACCGAGGGACATAGTTTGCACCGGTTTTAATAGTTAGAGGAGTCGATATACCGGTTTTGTGGTCGGAGGACATGAATCATACTCGGGAGATAGTTGAGGGAGTCAAAGTATACGTTTTCTTTCTGGGTTATACGTAGAGTGGGTTGGGCTTTCTTCCTCAAAATGTTGGCCCATCAAGCAATCCGTCAAGTGGGCCAAAACAAAGTGAAGCTACGGGTTGCACTAAACCCTAAAATCCTCTCTCTCTCTCTCTCCCCCTTGTACCGACCAGCAATCCGCGCACGCGCAGCCGCCTCCCTTTGTTCGCGCCCACTTCCAGCCAGGCCACCGCCGCCGCCGCCGACCGAAGCAGCCGACGGCGACCACCGCCGCGGCGAGGGATCGGTGCGTAAGCTTGGCGGCGGGCCGCTCCGCACGCGGGAGGGAGCGCCGTAGCCGCCCTTCCCCCCACCCTCTACACCCCCTCGCCGGCGGCGAACACGGCGCGCGATGGGAGGCGCGCGCGCGCAGGTGAACAAGCCGCACAAGACACGCTTCGCCTCCAAGGCGTCGCGCCACGCGCACAAGATCGGTACGGCGCCCATGGCGGTCTCCCCTTCTCCTTCTCCTCGTCCTCCTCCCGCCCCCGGCAATCCCATTCCTCTTCTTCGTTGCCTTACGCTGATGGATGGCGGCGTCTTTTTGTTGTTCGGCAGATAAGGTCAGGACCGGGAAGCCGGAGGGCAGCCACCGCGCCGCCGTCAAGGGGGCCCGCGCCGCGCGCGTCCAGCGGAGCAAGGCGGTGAGGCTTCAGCTCTCGCAGTGCATCGCACCTTTACTTTTGTGCTTGGTTATTAGCTAGAGTATGTGCTTGACTGATTGTGACTTTTGGGTAGATGTCAAAGCTGGCTAATTCCGATTCGGGTGGCTGTATGGAGCTATTTTTTTTTCTTCTGATGTTTATTTTGTGAAGCACAAAGCATATTGATAAGACCAGCAGCCAATTAATACAAATGTTTATTAAAATTGTTAAGTACTCCAAGAAATAAGACATGTTTCCAATAAATCAATAATAATACCTGCGACATGATAGGGAACACATCTGACAGCCAGTATACTCAGTCTCAGAGTGAATGGCAATTAATCTTTGACAGTGCAGACTAAAATGATATCTGAAAAATAGATGGCTAGTGGACCGTCCAAACTTCAGCTTACACAGCTGAACTTCAACCTTCAGCTTGTACAGCTTATAGCATTCCCATAAAATTTTAGAAGACCAACAGTGCACCTGTGTGTTGCATCTGAAGTTGATTTTCATTATACTGGAGTGTAACAACATATAAACTTTTCTAACAAGAAATGAGCTTTTGCTATTTTAGTTCTTGTGTTATGATAGGTGGACAAGGGACATGGATATCTTCATTACAACACGAACTCAAGTAGTTTACAAAGTAAAAACAGGAATTTGTACTTTTTTTTTTGCTTATCCTGGTTCACTGTCCTCAGTGTTGTTAGTTGTAAGGTCCTTCAGCATGTTCAACCATTCATCTACTGAAGCATTGTTGACTGTTGGGTAGCAAGCCTCATAGGCTGGTGTCAGAGGCCAATGGTGCAAACATCTACTTTAACAGCATCTTGATTATTTGTGAAGATAGAAACATGATAATTTTCCAGAACTAGACTGACACAAGACAGGAAGTGGCCTGCAACGCAAGGAGGGATCCAGCAAGGCTGGGCTTTTTGTATGATCAGTGATGTATCCTAATGTTTATTTTGAACAAAACTATCACTTCCTTCTTTATGTTAGATGGCAGATTGATCTCTGCATATTCTCTATTCATCCAGATTCTTGGAAAATTTGTTATTACAGTAATAGTTTGCTAGATGCAGAGATCTTGAAAGTGTTTCTTCTGGTTGGCTTGAAGAAACCATTGTTTTGTACTATTTTTTTTATTATTATGGTAAATTCATTCAACATATAGTTAGTTATTCTTTCTGTATTTCTTTGATTCATCTCCTTTCATGCTAGACAGTAAAGTGGAAAGTATTGCAAATTGCCGTGCAGCCACTATGTTCCTTTGTCCTAGTTATGATGGCTCCAAAGCATGTCTTCCAACTGTCATCCAATTTATTTGTTCTTTAATTCATTTTCTCTGTTTTGATCTCTGCTCAACTTGGATTACATATACTGATATGGTCGCTGAGCATTATGTTTTGGTTTGTTAAGAGCTCTTGTTTTTTCTAGCCTCATCAGTTTTTTCTTGTTTACTGTAATGGTTTTGCTTGGTTGCAGATCCGTGATCAGAAACGTGCTGCTTTGCTGAAGGAGAAGCGCTCTTCCGTTGGATCTTCGAGTGCGCCCCGTGTCGTTGTTAGTATTTATGAACTTAGCTCTTGTTGTCCTACTTTGATTGTCACTTTTGTTGTTTCCTACGGTCAGATGATAGACATTTCCTTGGGGTAACTGATGATTATTGCAGGTTCTTTTTGGCCTTTCCTCGTCGGCAAATGTCAGATCACTTGCCAAAGACCTTTTAACCATTGCTTCTGGTGATGAAGAGAAACCAACTTCTTCCACTGTTGCTTCTCCTACATATAAACTTCGAACCACGGTTAGTTTAATTTAAATACAGTTGTACCACACATACCTGTAGGCAGGACACACTATTTAGTAATATCTCTATTTTCACGTTCACCAAAAAATTATGACCATTGTATCATCTCTCTGATGTGCATGTGTTGAACTATAGATAGGTCTTTGAACCATTGTATCAGCACTTGGTCTCATGTTTTAGTTGTTCTTTATATATATTGCTGTTAATTTCTTAATTTCCATTCATTGAATCTGCACACGACATGAATGATAACATTGCTTTTATATTCATATGGTTCTTGAAGGTACTTGAAGCACCTTATGGTGATCTTACATCATGCATGGAACTGGCAAAGGTTCATTCAATCAAAATCAATTTGTCATAATTGTTTTTGTTGAAATTTCTTGCCTCTAATCTGGATCTTGCAAACTATATCTTTCCTACATAGGTTGCTGATTTGCTAGCATTTGTACTATCAGCAAATTCATTATACGATTGTGATTCGAGCAGTCCAATTGATGATTTTGGATCACAATGCTTGTCTGTTTTTCGGGCCATGGGCTTACCTAGTACAGCTGTTTTCATTCGAGTAAGTTCCCATCATAAGCATTTGTCATGCCAGACATTGTATAATTGTTATCAACTTCCATCTTTTAACATTGGTACTTGTCAGGATCTTCCATCAGAAAACAAAAGTAGGCAGGAATTGAAGAAAACAGCTATTTCTTTTGTTTCTCCAGAGCTACCTGAGGATTGCAAGTTCTATGCAGCTGACACAAAGGATGATTTGCACAAGGTTTTCTTTGGAACCATATATTATTAAATAATGAAATGATATTTATATTTTTCTTCACCTTTTCTATCCTTCCAATGCTGTAATGTAATTATTTATGCTTAAATCTTTTCAGTTCATGTGGCTTTTCAAGGAGCAGCACCTTTCATGTCCACATTGGAGAAACCAGAGGCCTTATGTTATGTCTGAGGAGGTTTGAATGATTTGATACTCTATCTCTCTTTTTTGAGTGTTGACAGCTGTATCTTGGTGTAGAATATTTGGCCCAAAATCACATCCATGTTTCCCATTTTGAAAATTTGTCTGTGCAGTATGCTTGACAATTAAGACTGGTTCTGCTAAAATTAAAATAATATGTGAACTTTTCCTAGGTGTGTTAAATCTTTGACAAGGCATATGCGAGATTGTGAGCACATGCATCACATCACCTTAGGTTTCCATGTAATGATATATTAAGTTGGCTTTGAACCTACATTATTCAGTGCTAGTGGTGATTATTCACAAGTTACAAGTCATGTTGGCTTTGCCTTTTCTTTCAGTTTAAAACTGATTGACATAAGATGTTTGTTTTCAGGCCTGCATAAAACCTGATGACAGTTCAGGGCTGTGCACATTGCTTATGTCTGGATATTTACGTGCCCACAATCTTTCTGTCAACCAGCTTGTAGGTGATCTATGTTTTTATTTCTAGTGAGCTATTTTATGATTTTCTGTTCCTATTTTCTAACACCTTTGCCACTCAAAAGGTCCATCTGTCAGGTGTTGGTGATTTTCAGTTGGGTCAAATTGATATCCTCAAGGATCCTTTTCCTATTAATGAGAGGAAAAACTCCAATGCCATGGTTTCTGAAGATAGTGGTATTCAGGTTGTTATACATCATAAATTCACTTTTACAAACTGAATTATACTGTTCACAACTACATTAGAATGATCTGATGCAAGTAATGCTATTTAGTATCATAATAAGCATAATAATCAATGACTAAGTTATCTTTTACATGTTCAGTTTCATTTATTTTGATAACACCTTTTAAACTTCTCATTATTTGGCCCTTTTTCAGATTGTTGACACCTTTGTTCCAGACCCTTCAAGTCAAGAGCCTTTGCTTGTTGAAAACACCCCAGATCCACTTGAAGGGGAGCAGGTGATCTTTCTCCCATTTGGCTTAATGATGTGATGTTGACAAGCCATTGTTTTGAGTTCTGTCGTATCAAAACCTTTTGGTATTGAAGGGAAAATACAAGGGGTCTATCTATTACTTCATATAGTCCTACTCTTAGAAAGTTGGATTTAGTGCACAGTTTCTATAATAGCACATTGACTTTTAAAAAGTTTCATCATTGTTACTGTGAAGCATCTTAGTGTTGGTTTGACAAAAAAAAATGTTGGTAATATTCTTGATGTCACGACTTACTATTTTTATTTTCAATGTGTTGTCATCTGTTGTTCTGTGTTATTTTCTTCTCTTAGATGAAGTCAGAAGTTTGTTTGCTTTTAACATACTCATTAAGCTCTGTATCTTTCTTAAAAATACAACATATGTCATCAGATAGAATAGACTCGCTTAGCTTAATGGAAACCTTTGCTGTCAATCTGTTTCTTTTGGCTCAGATTGCATTCATTATTTGTCATATTTTACTGAACCAAACATTATGTTTCCTATGTTTGTTTCATCCTATCAAATCTTATTTGCTCTCTTGTGAATTAGTGAAATTAAATTATATCAATATATCTATATTTGAGAATAAGTTCTCTTTTGTATTATTATCTTAGACTTGGCCGACAGAAGCTGAGATGGAAGAAGCCTATTTGAACAACAAACAGAGAAAGCTAAAAAGAAAGCTTCCTCGAGGCACTTCAGAATACCAGGTTCACAATGCTTATCAAGATTATATTACCTATTGCTTACTTTTTTTAATAATTACTTATTGAAAAATTCTCCTCAAATGCTATTGTCAGGCTGCTTGGATTGTGGATGATACAGATGATGAAGATGGTGATTCTGAGAACGACAACCAGGATGGTGCTGGAATGGTTATAGATGAGCAAGATCACTCAGACAATGGAGGTGATGGTTCAGATATGGATGTGGTATCTCACTTTACGGAGAAATTTGATGAAGAAACAATTGGGGGTACCGAGATGGCAGTGAGTTCCCTTATTCCTTCAATCTGATACATTATAAAGCATTTGCTTTCAAAGAACTTATTAGTGGGCAAAACAGAGAAATTATAGCTGCAGTCTATCATTTTTATATTTTGATTTTTCTTGCCCTAGTGTGTAGTTGTACTAGTTAAAAGACACCTAAATGACTGCTATTATGCATAAAAAGAATCATGTACATTTCCATTTTGTTGGGAACTGAACATGTTCATTAATGTTTTTGCTATAGGGAAAACTGAACACTTACAATGTTTTCACATCTAATACTAGTAACTTAGCTTTCTATACTACATAACATTGGCAATTCATTCATCTTGGACCTTCCCACACTATATATTCGGATTCACTAAGGCTAACTTGGAATTTATAAAAAAAATGTGGAAAAAGTGTTCTGCAATGAAGGTGTTTCAGGAGTAGTACACAAAAATGCAATGTAGAGTGAGGCGTCAGATTGACAACAATCACCACCACTGCCTTCTCTTAGAGTAGTGAGATAGCAGATATGCCTTTTGTGCAATGTTTATAAATTCGTAGGGCATGCTTTTTTATCCAATGTCGAATTCTTCTTCTCTTTCTGTATAATCTGGTTTTCTTCTTCTAGCATGAGATGAATATGCATGCTTTAATCTGTCTCAACTTTAAGTAAGGTCCATTGTACATTGGCAGGACGATGAAAATTTGACCAAAGAGCAGATAGAGGCAGAGATTAAGAAAATAAAAGAAGCTAACGCTGAAGACGAAGGTATGGGTGCCAATAATCACGGATGTAACTCGTCCAAAAAGTGCAATATATTGAAATACAACCTGTTCCTGATTTTTTTCTTAATTCTTAATTGCTGGCTGTTGCCAGTATTTCCTGTAAATAATGGTGAAATCCTGATAACACATGCCATGGAATCTTGGTACCTTTTGAGTTTCATGTTTTATCAATTCTGCAAAAACATGCCATGGAATCTTGGTGGTAGCCTTTTGAGTTTCATGTTTTATCAATTCTGCAAAATGACATTGATGTCATCATAGCTACTAGAAATTTTATTGTTTCACTTCAGTAATCTTTTATAGAAATACACATACCTTGTTTTTAAATTTCATTACAATATGCATTCTTTGATGTAACACTTCACACATTGTTGATTTCCTCTAACTGCACAGAAACCTTATATGTGGGGGGCTAACCTCTAGCTGACTTCTGTGACCCACCTGTCAGTGGAAAAATTAGTGGTTTTAGTAAGTGTGCTGAGTATTTGTTATGGTTTTGACAAGTATCTGTAGTTTTTTTAAACTTTACTGAGAAGAACGTAAATGCAAACTATTTATTTATGGAATATACCTTACAAATTAGAAATGCTCAAATGCTTCATTTTCTAATCAATAGCTATTCAGTGGACATATTATGATTTTACTATAGGGTACATTTGCATTATTTGATTTTCAAAGAATCATATTCAATTGTCATTTAATGTTTCAGAATTTCCCGATGAGGTGGAGACACCCTTAGATGTCCCAGCAAAAAGGCGATTTGCAAAATACAGAGGGCTAAAGTCATTTAGGACATCATCCTGGGATCCAAAGGTAAGTGTGATTGAATTATCTTTAGCTGCTGCAGTTTGACCTTATGAATTTCACGTGTCATTTATTATGGTTCTTTTTCTTCATTTTGTTTCTGTAGGAATCACTGCCACAGGATTATGCAAGAATATTTGCATTCGATAACTTTACAAGAACACAAAAGCATGTTCTTGCTAAAATGGCAGAGCGAGATGAAGGAACCTTGAAGGATTGTGCTCAAAGAGGATCATTTGTGAGGCTCCATCTGAAAAATGTTCCTACTGAGATTGCCTCAAAACTTGTTCATCCATCAAGGAGATTGCCTGTGGTTGTTTCTGGTCTTCTTCAACATGAGTCAAAAATATCGGTTCTCCATTTCAGGTATTCACCTACCCATTGCACTCAACAAATTCGTGTGATCTAGTTTTAGGCTGTGGTGTCATTTCCACTACTAAATTGTGATGTACTCCTCCGTCCCAAAATATAGTAACCTAGTACTAGATTAGACATGGACCCGCCAAGATTCATAGTATTAGGATATATCTAATCCAGTCCTAGGTTGCTATATTTTGGGACGGATGGAGTAGTTGATGATATTTGGCCAACTTTTAGCATGTGTTGTTTCTTTACTGTATATCAGTAATAAGATTTCTTATGCTCTGTGATTCATGCCAAATTGGCAATCATTGAGAGCTGCATTTCCTTTCTCATCCCTGGTAGATCATATATGGACTATAGGTGGAGGGTGAAGAACCTGAGACTGCATGAGATTAATCTTCAATACTTAATTCCAAAAGACTAGCCGAAAATCTCTTATGGGCTTGCACTTAACAATCCAATCTGATAGATAATAATCATTCTAATCAAATCCTATGTCTAAGGAAACCTCCTTCCCCAAATCTGGCCATGGTCTTGTGTGCCTTAGGCACCACCTTGGCTGTCTATGCCCCTTCCTTGGCCTCAGTGGACCTCGGCCTTTGGCCCAATTCCCATTACAATAGGCTGACATTATTTTGGTGCAGTTCAATGCAGATACATTTGACGGTGTTGCCACCCAGAATGGTACAAAATTAGTTTTCTTTTCTAAAAAAAGAATTTTTCATGCCGTGGTATTCCAAACCATGACATCAGCAAAGTCTGTAAAATGCATCTGTAATCAGTAATTTTAAAATCTATTTTTATATATTTGTAGAACCGACACAACTGTTATGCATGAAAGCAGTTTTCAAGAGTTGTGCATCTTATTTTTATTTGTCCATTATTCCAATCTATATCTATATTTAAAAGTGTATTGATGCTCAAAGTTCTGAAAGATGACTTGACTATGTCCAGAGTATTTCTTTTTTTTGACTAAAAGGAGTAATAATATAATGCTATCATGTGATCATTCATTACATTTCCTTTTTGCTGCAGCATAAAGAAACATGACTCCTATGAAGCTCCTATCAAATCAAAGGACTCCTTAATTTTCAATGTTGGGTTCCGGCAGTTTACTGCTAGGTAGGTAGTGGAAGCTCAGTCATGCTAATGCAGAAAAAACAGATGCTCGTCTTTTCATTGAGAAATGTCTCATTGGTTATTTATGAATCTATCACAGGCCATTGTTTTCAACTGACAACATCAATTGCAATAAGCATAAGATGGAGAGGTTTCTACATCATGGGCGGTTTTCTGTTGCCTCTGTATATGCTCCAATTTGCTTTCCTCCACTCCCTCTTATTGTTCTAAAGAGCAGAGATGGGGAGCAGCCTGCCATTGCTGCTGTTGGTTCACTGAAAAGTGTGGATCCGGACCGGATTATTCTTAAGAAAATTGTTTTGACTGGGTAAGTTTCGAATTATCCTTTAATAGGCAAACAGTTCTGCAATTTTCATTTTGCCTTTTTGGTCCAATAAATTTATGTTGATGTGCTCTATCGATATTTTCTAGGAAATAATTACTGTTGGTGGATAAAAATTTCTTATAATAATGTTCACACAATCTATCTTGTTATTTGGAAGAAAATATGACAATACTGTTTGCATCGAAAAAGTTATGTATAACATCCAATCACAGTCTTCAAATAGGTGCTATAACATCCCATCATGTATAGTCTTCAAAAGTTGTTTCGTTATTCGAAGGAATAATATAATACTGTTCGCAACAAAATGTTTGTTGTCTTACAGCTGTTTGCCAGTTGTTTGTGTTGGTGAATTAATGAAAAGAGAGAACTTAGGATTGAGGACAAGTGCTTGTGCTCTGTAAGGTGGTATTTGTTGTTCTGACTTGGCAGATTTGCCAAAGTGGGGGAGTGGGGATTTCTACAACAATTTGTGCCAGTTTGATTTCTCTTTTTTCTTGTTCTGACAGAGATTATATAATATCTAGGAAAACAAAATATCAACTACTCAGGATTTCCAATCAAAATCTGTACAAATTTAGCTATTGATATTTATGATGAACATACAAAAATCATTGGTGTAGATTTGTCTTGAAAAATTCTTTTGCAATATTATGATTTTAGAATGTTCTATATTTATATGTAATTGAAGTTAGTTCTCAAAGTTGTGTTATGAAGATAATGTTGATGCTTAAAGTGTCGATTGTTTGAGTGTTATTCTACTACATTATTTGAGAAAGAGGAAAAGATTAGTCCTTTCTTATGCCGGTCATGTTTCTGACTTCACATCTCATGCAGTTATCCTCAACGGGTCTCAAAACTGAAAGCAGTAGTGCGATACATGTTCTACAATCCTGAAGATGTCAAGTGGTTTAAGGCAAGTGTTTTACAGCTAATTCATACACTGCTCCATATATATTCAACGTCAATAACACCATTGTTTTGCAGCCTGTAGAGTTGTGGACGAAACATGGTCGACGTGGCCGAATCAAGGAGACTGTTGGCACTCATGGTACGTTTGCTAGACCCATTTCGACATGTCTGATACATCGCTGATCCTTCACTCACCGTGCTCTTGCTTAACAGGTGCTATGAAATGCATATTCAATAGCAGCGTCCAGCAGCATGATACCGTGTGCATGAGCCTTTACAAACGCGCTTACCCCAAATGGCCAGAACAGCTCTACCAGATATGATCATATCAGGGTCATGGATATGTGCTTGCACGTTGGCATGTACGTCTCAAAGTTTTGACAGATTGAGCTCATCGATGTGCTTCCTGATGCAGCTCATATATGTATACTAGTGCTAGCAGAAAAAGAAACCTCATGTCAACAACGACATGTAGTTAGCTGTATTCTGTATGTTAACATTTGTTTTACGTTAACAGCTATGATTTTTGATTTTTGCTGATTTTCGGCGTGCTTTCATCCGCATTTGTGATTGATTGAGCCGGTAATTCAAGCTGCAATGTTACAAGATATCGTGTTAAATGTTACAGGTGCAATCAGGAGCTCACCTGTAATCCATGCCCATGGGTGGTGGTTAAAGAGAAACCTTATATGGCATAATATGTTAAATTGCTTCCTAAAAGTTGGCATTGTAGTCGATTTCCTTAATACTCCCTCATTTACTAAACGTTTGACGCCATTGATTTTTTTAAACATATTTAACCGTTCGTTTTATTTAAAAACTTTTGTGAAATGTGTAAAACTATATGTAAACATAAAAGTATATTTAACAATAAATCAAATGGTAGGAAAAAAATTAATAATTACTTAAACTTTTTTAATAAGACGAATGGTCAAATATTTTTTAAAAATTAACAGCGTTAAATATTTTGGAGGGAGTACATAGAAACATTTTGGAGGGAGTACATAGAATTTTATTGTAGTAGATTTAATAAGTCAGACCTAGCACGATAGTTATACCTCAAAGTTGCATGCCATGTGTGATATTTGTTAACTTCGTGGCAAGATTATATAAATCCGGGTTGATTCCGTTCGTCTTGTCCTTGCCTTCGTCCATAGTTGCCCCTTGATCCTAAAGCGCAGCAGCAGATTTATGAGTAACTTGTATTGGTGGTATACAAATTTGTTAGGTGGATACGATTTAGTACAGTACACGAAATTGTCTAGTTCGTAAGAACGATGATAAAATAACTTGGCAATGTTAATTTTATAAAGCTGATATTGATTAGGATACTAATATTTACCAATACTAGTGGAAATGGTTAGTACTAGATCTCTACCACTAACTTTGATCGTATATTTTGTATTTTTTATGGTTATGGTTTGCACTTAACGACCATTAACAATAGGCTGCATGGGTGTTTGACATGCCATGGTGCTGAGGAGCACACATGGATCAAGAGGTTTCTATCCGGATTAGAGCATGTACAATAGCAGGCTATAAACCAGCTCTAAACACATTTCGAGGAGATAAAATAGAAGAGAGAAGGGCAGCGGGTTATAGATTTACAGCTCTAAACACTCAAGTTATATGTATGTATGACAGGTAGGACCAGATATTAATTATGTAGTATATGTTTATAGGTAACTATTGTATGAATTGACTGTTAAGTTGATTATAGATGATTTGCAGCCAGCAGTTGGCTATACTATCTTGCTCTTAAGAAATCCAAAAATGATGTCTCTCGTGTCTCCAGCTACGTGGCTGGACTCGCGAACAGAGAGAAAAAAAAAGCCAAGAGTGACGATCGGAAAGTTACTCATTTTATCGAAGTAGGCTAAATTAGATTAGATTAGATATTCTTTATGGAGACAGTATCTGTTAGCAACCCAAAGATTCCTGCCCCACCTCGGGTTGAGTTATGCCTTTTGCGGCCTTGTGAAGAGGCCAATGACCCAAGAGGAAATCACGACCTAAATCGCTCAGTCTTCCTCTCCAACCACCGAGCTAACCAAACGCCCAACGCTGCGACTTCGGCTCCGGCGACCCTTCCCGGCTTCCTCGCTCGCTCAGCGATGATGGCAGAGGAGGGGACGCATCAGCTGCTGTACGTGCAGGAGACAGTGCTGAGGAAGAGGAAGGTGAACGAGGACTGGGCTGTCAAGAGCCGGGAGCAGAAGGCCGCCAGGAGGCAGTGCCATTGCCAGGACGACGGCAATGCCCATCAAGAAGCCGCAGGACTTCGTCAGGGAGTTCTGCAACAAGGTTGACCTCGTCCGGATGGGGACTCGCCTCAAGGTCCACAAGCCACCTCCCGTCACCGATGGCCTCGTCTCCAAGCTCATCCGTGCGATACGAATTCCTGGGTCAGTACTAGCAGTAGCAGTAGTACAAAATTCTGATTTTTTCTTTTCGGGTTTGAAAATGTTTGTTTCTTCAACATTCTCTGTGTAAATGTAATTTGCAGCACTATGGACTTGCATCCACACATGAGGAAGATGTTACGCAAGCGGTTAGAGTTTGTATCGAATATATGTATAAAGTCGGTTAAAATAGAGTAAGACTCGGACTCTATCCTCGGATTCCTCTTAAATAGAGGGACATGTTGTAACCACGCATGGAGGCTTAACATAGCGAGGGGGAGGTCCGTAAGCTTGAAAATTGTACATTGAGGCCCATGAACTTGCTTTAATAAAGCATAGCCGGTCCAAAGTGTGTTTGATCATAGTTGCCGCCTACGTGGTGCTCCACGTAGATAACATTTTGTATCTAGCCCCCTCCACATCTTGACGTGGTGGTAATTTTGTATTTACCCCCTATTACCCCCTATTGCTACAGTAGTCATTGAAATCCCCCAAAATATTCCAAATCCCTTCGTCCCTTTGCATCCGCCAAGCACTTCTGAGGGAGAGGCCTAAGTAGGGCGAGGATGATGATGGCGATCATAAGGAATGCAAAGGGACGAAGGGATTTGGGGGGATTTCGGCGACTACTATTGCAACAGGGAGTAAGTACAAATTTACGGGCACGTCGAGATGCGGAGGGGGCTAGATGCAAAATGCTGCCTATGTGGAGAGCCACATAGATGGTCAGCTCTGGTCAAACGCGCTTTAGACCGGCTATGGTTTATTAAAACAAGATCATGAACCTTAATGTGCAATTTTCAAGTTTACGGACTAAGTGAGCTCAAGTTTAAGAACCTGCCATTTATTTTACTCTTTAAAATAATCTAGAAAATAGTTGCTAGTGGGTGATGATGTGGCATACTTGCATATGATTTAAGATAATCTAGATAATAATTGCTATGGGTGATGATGTGGCCCACTTGCATGTTAAACTTTAGTAGTTAGTGAGCATCAACTTTATATAGTAAGATATGATGAATGGATGGAGAAGAGAGAGGAGAGATTAATATTTGTTTAGTAATTATTGTTTGGTAGACTACTACTTGATATTATTACTATCCACTTTACTACCTACCTCTACGATATCGAATTACAACAACACTATTTAGCATATTGTGGATTCTCTTATGTTCTTAGCGTATGGATTAATTAAGTATTAACAAAAAGAACATTAAAAATATATTGATATGATTTTAAAGAAACTATTTTATAGATATTTTTTTTTCTAAAAAACACCCCTTTTAGTAGTTCGAGAAGTGTGCGTGGGGGCAACGAGAGAATATAAGTTGGAAAAAGTTCGTGATGAACATAGCCTTAGAATGGCCAGTGTAAAATTGACTGAAAATTATAAATAAATAAGGACTATCTGCATCCTCTGTAAAAACAAATTTCTAGCTGAAAATAATGCAGATTCAGATCCAGCAGTTAGTTCCTTTTACGATGGAGTGAATATCATATATGATAGAAAAACCTCTCTGATCTCAGTCACTTTTTGGACGTCACAGATTTGTTTGAGACTCATGCTATACAACAACTGAACCTTATTTCCCCCTTCCCGTCCTCTTCTCAATGTGGGTATCGATGTCACCACCTCTACAACCTCCCACCCTAGGACACCACCGCCCAGCCTTGGCAGCTGGCTAGAAGGTGCCAATGGCGCTGGCAAGTGCCCCCTTGCCGTCTCTTCTCCTTCCTCCTCCTCAAGCCGGTGACAGAGAGGTGCCCTATCCTGTTGGGTCCACTGTCCTTGGTCGACACCTTGTAACTACAAGTTCGTTTTGCCCCTACCACCAATGCTAACCTACCACTCTCCTCTATCCTCATGGTTCCGATGCCGTTGTTGGCGCCCCATTGCCCACATGTATACACTTCCCATCGTCATCCCTCTAAGCCTGGCGATGACGATCTCCCTCTCTTCCCCCTCTCCTCACCCCTCCTACCCCTATAAGCAACCTAGAACCCTAAGTTGGCATCGCTGGAAGTGGGGGAGAAAGGGTCGTAGGAGCAAGAATTGCAAAGAAAATTGTAGGGCTCGAAACCTGAAAGAAATCCCCCCCTCCCAAGTTTTTGGGAATGCGATTTAGCAATCCCATAATAAATATTTTAGATAATGGAAATGGGTTACATCTCTGGCCTCTGTCCGTAAGCACACAGCCAAAAAGTCCAGAAGTGAAAAGAAAAGAGCTTAAAAAGGCGAGATGAGACAAACCCTCAACTTCTGCCAATAATATGATCTACTAAAATAATGTTTTTAAAATCATGTAGATTCTATCGTGAAATTTTGTAGGTACTACGTCATCCAAACTGGAATAAAAGTTCCTTGGCTATCAATTTCAAGCGTGTAGCACCATTACGCATAGTTTCCTGTTGTTCCTGTGAAAGCATCATACACCAAGAGTGAAGCCAATTGGAACACATGAAGATAACCTGTATGATGTTAGGCATTTTTTATGGTTAAAAACTATACCATTACGACAATGCTAAATTGACCAACATAGAGCACTAGCTCCAAATAAAATCGACACTCCCATAATAAATATGTCACCATATGACACTCCCAATATAATATTGTTTGCCTATTAAAACCTATATCAGATTTAAATCAGATGATCGGTGCATCAAAACTCTTAGGGCATCCGTAATGTTTATTGCAAAACTACGTATAGTAATAAGGTGGGCTCGTGTCAGGTGGTAATAGTAGGTTAGAGAGACCATAATGTATGTATGTGTAGAGTAGGTAATAGAGTAAGACGCATCTAAAAACATCTTCGAACATAAGTCATGCCACAATTAAAAAAAAGATGGGACCTATCATAAAGTGCTAATAAAGCTTATACCCTAAAGCTTATACCCTCGTAGTTGTTGTTTACCATCCCCACAATATATCTTATCTTGTACTAGGATACATTCAATATTTATTACCCACTATTTCACTATATTATGGATGCCCTGCTATAACATCTTTTGGGACAGCCTACTCTGAGTCAAGTCAAAAGTTTTAAATTAGCTAGTTGGGGATTGTTAATTATTCAATCCATGGCGAATTGTGTCTAATTTGCTGAACTAAGATTACTTGTTTGTCTCGACTCGACATAATAATATTAATCAGTGGAATTCCCGCCAGAAACTAATTAATAAATCAAAGCCAAAGTGAAAAAGAGTGG